GGAAGTGGCTTAAGCTTCTTTGTGCAGTGCTTTAACCCGCTGGCCACCAGGGAGGGCCTGTGGTAGCTTCTTAACCAATCTCTTGGCCTCCAGTTTTCCTCTGAAATCCATTCTTTATAATCTTGTCTATAAGGGACACTAAAGTTCAATATAATCATGTCATTCTCATGCTCAAGAATCTTCCATGACTTCCTGTCACCTTGGTGCCTAGACATAAACACCCTTATCTGGTATTCAATAAGTACCCAATGTACTCTTTCTATGTTATGCCATTTGTTACACTACAGAATGCTGGTGCTGGCCAAACAAATTCTTACAAGTGACCTCTAAACAAAATTGAATGTTCTCTGTATTCCCCGACCATATGCCTTACTTTTTAACCCCTGTATGCTGACAAGGCTACTCTCTCCTCCTAAATCACCCACCCCAACAATCCAATTGTCAAAAATCTATGCATCCTGTGAGCCCCATCACAAATGCTAACTTCTTCATTAATTGGCGATTGGCTCTTGATCCCCACCTGATGTGACTTCACAAAACACTTAGAAGATACCATTGCTATTCATATAATGGTCTTCACACTCCTAAGAAAACAAGTTCCTGAGGAGGATATGGACCATGTTTGGATGGTCTCTCTCTCTCTCTCTTTCTCTCTCTCTCTCTTTCACACACGCACACGCACACGCACACACACATGCACACACATACACCACCACCACCACCCACACACACTGAGCTTCTTATGGGCCAGGCATGTGCTATATGCTTTATATGTATTGTCTCACTTACTCCTTTTCACAGTCTTATAAGATAGGTAGTTATTACCACCCCCATTTTATAGGGAAATTAAGCAACTTGCACAAATCTCATTTAGCAAAAGATAGACTCGGGATTTGTATTCTCAGCCCTCTCAACAAACTTCAGAAATTCTTGCTGCACAACCCACATCCTACCTCACATGCACGGTTAGGTAGTTTTCTGTTCCCTTCAGTGGGTTGCACCTATTGTTTCCTGATCCCCTCCCCATCCTTTATTGCATACATCTTGTGGGCAGATATTTTTATCTTGCTTTATTCGTTCCTTGCTTGCTGTGAAATGGCTGCCAGTCATCCTCCTCACAATTAGAGCTGTTATTGGTCAAAGCCTCAGTCCCTGGAACCACTTTACTCTAAAACTTGAAGCTCAAAGAACATTTTCCTAAGAACATAAATGCCAGAAACAGGACCTCAGCCCCTGTCAGCTGGTTTCAGGACATGTGCTCTTCTGCAACAGTGTGGCTTTAAGAATCTGATCTAGTAAAGTCTGGTGAATCCCCCTTTTCAGGTTCATGGTTATTCCAATAACTACTTGAAAGGCTAACTCTTTTTGGTGCCCGATCTGGTATACAGTCATGTGTCACATAATGACATTTCTGTGAACAGCAGACTGCATACATGATGGTGGTCTCTATGTATGCTATCTAGATTTGTGTCAGTACACACGATGACATTTGGACATAATGACACATTTTTCAGAACACAGCCCCATCCTTAGGTGACACATGATTGTATCTCTTCAAAAACAATCTTGAATAACATCACCACCAACAACAGAAAACTTCCATATACCAACTTGGAAAAAGTAGAATGCAAAAGTAACACATAATTCCATTATTCTCCAAACCAAGAGCTTATAGGTCCCAAAACTTAGAATTCTAGAAAGAAACTCTTAAATGAATTCTATGATGTTGTTACTGCCTATCTCCATTCTAAAACTAGGATTTCTTTCAGTGATCAATCAGGGTGAATGCAGTCTTGAAATGTGCTCTCTGAACACCTTACTGGGTTCTTTCTAGAGGCTCCTAGAGAACTTCCAGAAGTGGCCCTCTATATGTCTGTGAAGTGACAACACTCCAGGACTATATTTCAGTAGGATCATAGATGTTCTTTTCCTCTTGAATTTGGGAAATCTTTGTTTTCTGTCCAGAATCATGCCGGACAGAATCATGCCGAAAGTTCTCCTTTGGCAAGTCATGTCTTAACAGTAAGTATGAGTCAGCTCATGTCAAGTAGCCTGGGATTGCTTACCTAGTGATAATAGAGAGGCTGGAAAGGGTTAGTACCAGGAACTCTATGTTAACTGATAGTGTGACTCCACCTGCTGTGTACATTGACGTGTTTGGGGAAGTCTACTCCTAGGCAATTTGTGTTGACGCACTGTATAAACACGTGTAATAGGCTCTGCTTTGAGAAAAAAAAAACATGTATGTGCGGGCTTAAACCTGTGCATGTCTACAGAGGTACAAACACTCATACAAAAATTCACCTATTCAAATGGTTATTTCTGATAAAAAAAATTCACCTTCTCAACCCAAAGAGGTCATAGACCCTCCAATTCCATTCCACTGGAAAAGCCCCAGCTTGACTTGAACTAAGAAAAATTACATTCTAATTGTGTGATTGCACAGCCCTGGTTTTGGCTTTGTTTCAGCCGTTCTATTTCAACGCCGCCTAAAAATAGCTAGCCTGAGTGAAGTTAACCCTAAAGACCAGAGCTCCTCTTGGAAATGAGATTGAAGCAGTTTGTGGCTGCTCTGGCTGATTAATGGCACCTGTGATATGGTAATGAAAATTGCCAAATGCCAACGACTTCCTGAAGGACGTCTTAAGCATTTGATATCCATTATGTCACAGTAATCCTATGGAGGAGCCGCTAGTTATATTCTCCATTTTACAGATGAAGAAATTCAGTTCAGAGGGGTAAAAATGTGTTTTCCTTGGTAATAGAGTTTGTCAGTGGCCGAACCAGGGCGTATGTCCAAGTGTGACTGGCCCACTTCCCATTGTGCCTTGTGAGCTCCCAGCAATGAAACTAGGGACAGTAGAATCCACAAACAACACAGCCCCTGTTAACTGGGTTCACATTCTGTCTGGAAAGACAAGACAACAGTTAAAAGTTATGTTATAAAAATAACTTATAAACATTATCTATTTTAATTCTCATGGCAGGTACTATTTTTAGTTCTCTATTATGGATAAGGCTCACTGGAGCTGAATTTCATGATCTGTCAAATGAAAAGGAAGAGACCAAATCCCTAAAGTCTCATTCCCCCATAAAACAGGGCTGAATACTAAGAATGTGTGATTATGAAAGTTGGCATCACTCCATACAGGAAACAATCACAATGGGAATGTGGGTGATCACAAGGATGACTGTGAGGCCCCAATTCACATAACAGAATGAGTCCTATGGAATCCACCTAGCAGGAGAGTGATTCTGGAAAGATCTGAGCAGGATTTTTGTAGCTCAATGGAAAATGAAGGAGAATGGACAATGGACAATACAAAGACAGACATTTCAGAAGGCAAGACTGACAAGACAGAGACAGGCTGCTATTTGGAAGGGCTGGGAAGAAATCAGTGGCTAATATCAAAAAGAGTTAAAAGGGGGTCAGATAGGAAGGAGCCCACAATGAACATAGACAGGAGAAGCAGGAGAAAAGGGCAATGGTAGCAAATTCTTTTGGATTTGATCTCAAAGAGGGGAAGCAACAGAAAGGACTGTTTTTGTTTGCTTGTCTGCATGGTTCTTATCCTACCTGTTGTTTTGTGTGGCTTGGTTTGGACTGTTTTGTCTGCTGCTTTGTTAGTTGTAGTGAAGCAACATAGCCCAGGGTTCTGCCACTTACCAGCTGAGAGACTGTGGGAAGTGACTTCAATTTTTTGTACTTCATTTCTTCATCATAAAGTGAGGTAAAAGAAGACTTACCTCATGAGATTGTTACTGTTAGACTTATGCAAGTTATTATTTGCATAGGGTTTAGAACATTGTCTGCCTACAATAACCATTATGCTTGAAATATAGATACAAATAAAATTCCTCATCAACATTGAATCATGTGGGACAGTTCTAAAATTATTGTATAAAGAGCTTTAAAAAAAAAAACAACAAAGAACAGAGGGCCTTCTTCCCTGGTGGCACAACGGGGTTGAAGGACAGCATTAATAAGCTAAAGCCCCTTCAGCTTGAGTTCCATCCCTGCCTGCTTCAGAGGTGATCCACACCGAGAGGCAGACCTCTCCTGACCCGCCCCCTGCTCCCCTCAGCAGTGTGCTTTGTCGGTTGGCCTGTTCTGCTCCCCACTCTGTTTCTGGTGAATCCTCTCACTGCCCCTGCACCCCTGGCCTGTACTCCAGTTCTGTATGCATAAATAAACAAATCTTAAAAAAAAAAAAACAAAGAGGAGTTAGGCCCATGCTGGCAGATTGCAGTGTGGTGACAATCAAGTGCCATCAACCTTCAGATGGGACTTGTCCCCTCCAGCTCCCACAGTTCCCACCACCCCCTGCTGCGTGCATCTGGCCCACTTCATATGATCTTGTGACTCCTGATTAAAAGTGAAAAGACCATCCTTGTTCTGAATATTCTCATATATTTAGAGAAAGAGCTCATAAAGGAAGTAATTTGACCCAAGAAGCCAGGCCTGGCTGAGCTCACAGGATGCCCTAACCATAAGTCTCAGCTGGAGTCCCTCCTTGGCACTGAAGTCCCTCCAAAACCTCCTTTACTACCTCAAATCCTTCTGGCCACTTCTGATTCTGGGGAGTACACAAAGCTCCCACAATCCTTTGCGGTAGCAACTCTGGCAGAAGCACAGAGCTGAGGTCAGCAAATCAAGTTTGTGCTTCTTCCCCAAGTTCCCAGACCTTGACAAACCATGTCCTCCTCCCCGTGATCACTTAGGAGAGTAAATTGTTTCAAGTTCTGAAAACTCCACTGCTCAGGAAAAAATTACACAGCAGCAGGTCCCTAACCAAGCTTCAAGGCTGACTAAATTTTCCGGTGTTCCCAGGAGTGAACTTCCTAGTGGTCCATGGCTTGTCACCACTGACGCTCCTCAGGGCTGCTCAGTTGTGAGCCTCACCTGAGCCTCTCCCCGCTGTTCTCTGTCACTCTCAGAGCCCATTGAGGAGCTGCTTTTCCTTTCTGCTCTCAGGAGGCTAATCAAGTCCTGCTTAGAAGGGGTGAGCGTGCAGGCCTGCTGGCTCCTAGTCTCACCCATGGGCATGCTTCCACCTTTGTTTGTGAGGAATGATAAACTTTCAGGACTGTGAGAGTGAACTGGCTACAACATCTGTCAGCCCATTGAAGGCCAGGGTTGATTCAGCTGTCCTAGCTGGCTAGGTGGGTGATTTCCTCCTTCCCTGCTCCTGGTGTGTCCTTCCAGAAGCTGCACATTTGGTAAAAGAGGGCAGCCTTCCCCAAATAGAGATGGACTGTTCTTCGGTCGAGGGCATGGAAGTAGCTGCACTGCACTATTAGAACCACAAACACATTCTTGAACAAGCAGCACAGCTATGCTTACGCCTGGGTGCAGCCATGAAAGGTGGCCACAGCAGGCCCACTGTCAGAATCAGAAGTCAGGTGCTCTCTTGCCCAGAAAAGTCATGATGCAGAGGAGACGTGCCAGTGCTAACACACAAGACAGTGCCAGTCCAAATCCGTCATTTCACACAGCACCAAATCTGTCCTGAGTCTTACAACTTATTGTGGGGGTTGAGTGGAGAGTTAGAACACAAGTCTTCTCACTCAGTATGACTTTCTGGGAGAGGACGTGGTGTAGAGGTGGGAAACTGAACTTGTTTTAAACAGTGGCGTATCTGATGAATAACAGCTCCAGAGCCCTTTCCAAATGGGTGGAGGTGTGCAGCCTGGTCCCAGCCCCAACCAGCAGGAAATAACTTTGGCCAATCCTCTCCAGGTATGACTCTCCCAAGACAAACAGTGCCCAGTTTCAGGTGGGTCCTGAGTCTGAAAGCCTTGTGGGAAAGACTCTGGGTAAAGAGAGAGCTATCTGTGGGGATGGCTGTGTTAATCTGATGCTGCAGATCTCCTAGGCACTGCTACCACACATGCCAGCAAGGGTGTACATCCATCAAGTCATATTGAATTGGGTTTTGTGTTTGGTGGGTGGTGGAGGGGATGCTACCATGGTCTAGCCCTCTTTTGGCTAGAGGGACCTCACTTCCCATCACTCTTCCAGCTCACTGCTCTGTAGCCACTCTGGCTCAAACCTGTCATTCATGCTCCCACCACAGGACCTTTGCACTTACTGAACATTCTTCCTAGTATGTTCTTCTCTGGGCAACTGTGTGGTTTGTTCCCACTCTTTCCTCAAGTGTTTGCTCAGATGTCACTTCCTCAGAGATTCCTTCCCCAACTAGCCTATCTGAAAGTACAGCTTGTTAGGTGGTATTGATGAAAACAACACTGCTGGTATGCAGGGGGGTATCGGAGGAGCGCTAGGTTGGTTAGGACTGGGCTGTAGGTAGAAGAGAACATCTGAAGTTTGTACTTAGGAATCAATATACCTGAGCAGAAAGTACAGAAATGGTGAAGGCTGAGTGACAACAAGAAAAGAATAGAGAGCTCAGCTTTCTTTTTTGCTGGGAATGTTGCCTCCTTTCCTTTTATTTCTTCTTCTTGATTTCTTTCCTTGTTTCTTTTCCAACTCTCCAATTCCTGTACCTTAACTGGCATTTAGACAGTGACCACCCAGCTCACAGGCTTACAAGGATAGCTTTCTGAAGACCTGTTCTGAGAATGGCCAGAAGGCAACTGCACCAGCAATCCCGAGAGTCACAATAAGTCAAAAGCACCTGCAACCATTCCAACTGTGCTTATGGGTAAAAAAATGAAACCTGCAGCAAGAAGGTACTCAAATACCCCTCTTTTCTCCTTGTCCTACAAAACCCCCAAAAGTATGTCAGCTAAAGGAGGTACCTATCTATCGTTCTCCCATTTGTGCATCAAATGAATAAAATCTGTAAACTCCACTTGATTCCCTTTATTAATAATTTTGTCCTTGACAGCCAGGCATTACTGTATGGAGTTTTGTGTGTCTGGATGAGCCCCTGAGTCTATTGAGATTTCAGATAAGGATGGAGCATGCTGAGGAAGTTTCTCCCCCCTTCTTGGAAGCCCCTGTTGTGTCTGCAAGATGCAAAATGTGGGCTCTGATCCTTTGAAAAAGTTAACCTATTGTTATTAAAATTAAAATCAGCTCTATTTCCTTTGCCTTTTGGGGTTCTCTGGATCAGGTTTTCTGGGAGAGAATTACATGATAATCCTCAAGTAAAACTAGGCCTTCCTCCCTTCTTCTATGTTGGAGCCCTTTTAAATTATGGGCTAAGTGGAATGACTTCCAGGAAAACATCAGAGGTCCATCGGGACCCTTTAGAACAAAAAGGAAGTAAGATGGCTAACTAGCAATGAGCTACATCCTTTAACTGGTAAAGAGAAGCTTTAAAAGGAAGCAATTCAGAAAGAGTCCAGTCTACTGTGTCCTCTATAAAAACCACCTCAGGCTTCCCCCTATTCCTAAGGTCTCCTCCTTTTGAACTCTGACTAGCCTTTTGGAACTTGATTCCTTCCTGACTTCCCTCCCCTTCTGTTCTCCATCCTCTGAAGCCTTTCTCCTCTTCTTTCCCTTTATCAGTTCTCTCTGAGCTGTAGATCACAACCTCCAAAACTATCCAGATAAGTAAAAGCCACAGCAATAGGAGAAAGTCTTTCAAAACAATCCACGAATGCTTTCCTGTTCCACTGACTGCGAAATAAACCAAATCTGTCTCAAGAGTGTGATGAATCCTCCTCTAATTTTAGGGACTGATTTGAAGCCACCTAAGTATTAAGGAGACCCCCCCCCAACTGTATTTCCACAGTCTTTGTTCATGGCGTTAAGTCCGAAATACCAGATGCTTCAGAAACATTCAACAGGCTGGCAGACTACAATCATCCTTAAGGTACAGCACCTGTGTCCAGCACTGGTTAGTCCAGCATTTTGTAGAAAGCAGAATAAAGAAAGAAAAGGCCATGCACTGCAAGTTTATTTCATTATAATTTAAACAGCTTGAGGGAAATAAACTATAACACAGATCAACATGGATACTTGGCAGATAGTGTGGAGAAAAATGACTCTGGGCCTGCAAGTGTCCTGCTTTGGCCTAGAAACTAGACGTTCAAAGAAAGTTGCCAAATTTAGCAAATAAAAATAATCTTTTTGAATTTTGAATTCCAGATAAATGAGTAATGCTTTGTTATATGTATGTCTCATGAAATATTTGGGACACACACTAAAAAAGAGGTTTGCAGATTATTTGATACTCAAACTTAGCTGGACTTCCTGGATTTTATTGGGCAACACTACACAGGTTGCTCAATCAGAAACAAAATTATTCCCCTTCCCCCAGGAGGAGACTGCCAGCAGCCCCAACTGCCTTGGGATTATTAAGAGTTTAAAACTATTTATTTATATATAGCTCTCCATCTCACTGGGGAGCTACTGTTAGATGTTTACCCAAATTACTTTTCTTGATCTCTGAGCATCTGCTAACCCCATTTACCATGTGATAGTGGCTCCCCTTGACCCCAAGTTCTCCAGTGACATCTTGGGTTCTCCATTCCCTTTTGCCTTCAAATTAAATGTTTTCTTTTATTGAAGTAATGTCACATTATAACATATAAGTTTCAGGTGTGCATCATTAGAATCCAAGTGTGTATATAAAACATTAAGTTCAGCACTAAAGGTCCAAATGTATCTTTTGCACCATTGTCTCCTCTTCCAATTTACCCAACTCGCTCCCTCTTCACTCCTGGCAACCACCAGTTGGTCTTATAGTCCAGAAATTTATTTTTCATTTTATTTAGTTCACCTGTTTGTTCTCTCTACATAGTGCATAAGAGTGAAGTCCTGTGGTTGTTTGTCTTTTACTATCTGGCTTATTTCACTAACCGTAATTTTCTCTCTAGTTTCTTCCATGTAGTTGCAAATGGCATTTCATCATCTTTATGGTCGAAGAGTAGTTCATTGTGTATCTCTGTACCTTCTTTAACCCTTACACTGATGGACATTTACATTGTCTCCAGTTCTTAGAGATTGTAGTGTTGCAATAAACATAGGGCACATATGTCTCTTCCAATTAGTTGGGGTTTGTTGTTGTTGCTGAAGTAAACATCCACAAGTGAGATAATTGGATTGTGCGGAATTTGTTTTTAATTTTCTGAGTATCCTCTAACTATTTTCCACAATGAAAATATAACAATTCACATTCATACCAACACCTCAGCTTTATGATTGAATTTCCTCAGTACCCAATGTCCTCTGGGCCCCCTCCTCTACAGATGCTGAATAGACAAATGACTTAGAACTCCTACAAGTCAACACTGATGATCCCATGCTGCCCTGCCTAAACTGGTCAATATCCCCTAAAATCAGAAGCACTAGGGATAGAATGACCTACTTTGGCATTACTCATAGAGACTTAATCATTACTTATGCCAGTGCCAGCAACACTCCCCTCCATGCAGGGAAAACAGCCTACTGGGCATGAGTACCTCTTTGCACAAGGCTTAGGACTATAAATCCTAGAACAGGCAAACATTTTCTGTGGTTCTTCTACCCAAATACTATCCTGGTTCCTATAGTTCCAATTTTAGCACACTGCACAGTGGTAAATCTCTGTTTCAGCTTTCTTTAGTGCTCCCTTGCATTCTCATTTCTAGTACCTTCTCACTTTAACATGAGAAAAACAGCACAGAAGATCCCACTGAAGCCCCCTCATACTGATCATAGTCTCCCAGACTCACAATATCTCATCCTTTACCTGGCTACATATACAAGTTGCATAAGTTATTCTGATCTAAACTATGCCCAAGAGGCATTCTTTATCTCTTGGACAATTTGGCTATAAAAGGACACCAAGTTGTAAGGATAAATTACAATTTTATTATATCATTAGATAGGTTCACTATAATATATAATAGGAAGGCAAATCCTTCTCAGCAGATAGTCATTCAAAGGCACTTTCACCTCATTACCCAAAAATAGCTTAGAGGATTTAGAGGATTTACAGGATATTGCAATTGGTAGATTCTCATCTTTTTTGAATTAGCTGATACCTTCTACAACACGGCTGAAAAACGGTATCCCTGCACCCCTGCACTGGGAAGTTACTACAGAATTAGCCTTTGATCAACTCAAGATTACTATCCAGAACACTCCCATTT